GTGTGCTGCCGATGAATGTTCCAAATTGAGCCGTGTGTGCGCGTACACACACACTCTCTCACTCACACTCACACACACACAGGCGCGGCTGGCGCGGCTGGTCACGGCCCGGCGCGCATGCGCTGCTCGTGCGCGGCGGGCTGGGGTAGGCCCGGCGGTGCCCGGCGGCCGGGCGGCGCGGCATGGACGGGCGGCCGCAGCGGCCAGTCCTCGCCACGTGGTGAACGCGCTCGCACGGGGTCCTCGTCGCGCACCTCTGTCCCGCCCGTGTGTCTCCTGTCTGTCCGTCCGTCTGTCGGGAGCGTGTGAGTCGTTACGCCCCTGGAGGCTCTGCCGGAGCGAGTGGCGTGGTTGACGCGGTTGACAGGCTGTCCTCGTCGGCCTGGGTGTTGTTGTCGACGTAGGGCGAGTCGAGCACCTCGACGAAGAAAAGTGAAAAACCACCCTTGAACGCCGACGCATCTGGATTGCCGTTTTTGTTGTGTTCTGGAACCTTCGCTGACGTCGTCATGTCTGTCGAGAATGGCCAGGTGAGTGTCGTGCCGAGGTGTCGGGAGCGCACGCGCGCTGCCGTCGGGGAGGCCCTGGAGGAGGACAGCTGAGAGCTTGTTGTTGGCCGGCGTGTTGCGTGGCGCCATATGGCGAGTGTTAGGCCCTGTTGGGCTTCTTGGGGCCCTGCTTGTCCGCGGGGCGGGTAGACTGCACGCAGATCACGCCTTGTGGCACGGTGATCGAGAGAGAGAGAGAGAGAGAGAGAGAGAGAGAGAGAGAGAGAGAGAGAGAGAGACGCGAGGAGTTCCTGCCTGCCCACCGTCTTTACCTTTTCTCCCCCGCCCGTCCCTTCTCATCCGCGCCGCCGAGGATGCATTGTGCGTCGCGCGGCTCTTTCTCTTTCTACCCCACCTCCTCTCTTTCTACCCCACCTCTTCCTCTTCTGTCTCCCCCCCCCCTTCCCCCCTCCCCCCCTCTCCCCCCCCTCTCTCTCTCTCTCTCTCTCTCTCTCTCTCTCTCTCTCTCTCTCCCTCTCTCTCCCTCTCTCTCCCTCTGCCTTCAAGGACAGGTCGCAGGAGCGGCGGGACGAGACAAAACAAACCCACAGGGAGCTGTCCTCCACACTCATGCATGAATGTGTCTCTAACCCAACCTCACGAAAAAATAATCAGTCGTTCATTAGTTTCACCCAAATTTAAGCTGTTGTATGTAGTGTAAGAGTGTACTGAAATTTCGAACCAGTTATTTTCATTGATAGCCTGAAATGAGCCTGTACCAACATCGTTATCAAACTTTTAAGAAGGACCAGACAGACATTGTTGTACAATCATTACAAGGGGACTCGTTACCGCCAGCTGTTTAGAAGATGGTATGTAATACATAGTGTGGCGATATTCAAGTCTAAAACGAGAGGTTGGGGTGATCCCCGTGGCGATGATAGCTTTATAGTTTTTCAAAAGAATATCTAAACGTAATTTTTCCCGTCACCCGTGACGGGAGGCGCACGTCACTTGCGGAGGTGTTTGACACGCGCGGGCGGGGGCGTGGCGGCGCGTGGCGCCCAGCGCGGACCAACACTTGTTGAGCGCCCCTCCCCCGCCCCTCCCCTCTTCCCGCCGCCGGCGCGCTCGGGCTGTTTGACTCCTTTCTGCAATAACAACTCGGTTCGCTGTAGGATTCATCACGCTGTTCAAACGCATCTCTACACACTCAACCTCTCAGTTTTACTTTAGCGTTGATCAACTATCAACGTATTTGTGCAATGGTAAACAATTTTGCCAATGAATCGTAACGATAGCCTGTTAACGTTTCTTATCAACGAGGTTTTTGTTGTTAACAGCCAAACAAATTTCTATCTAGTAATAATGTTGTTACCTTACCATTGCATAGAATTAATAATACTAGCAAAAGAACCAAAAAGATCGCGTCCTTTTGTCTTGGCATGCTTTCTTTGCTCAGCTCGTGATGGGTATTTTCATATCAAGGATTGCTGGTTGTTGCATTATTTTCCTTAGTGATTTCGCGTACGTCGGCGTACGTTTTTTCACTTGAACATGAAGTACTGCCGCGTAGGGTGTGCGAGTGTGTGTGCGCGCCTCTGGAGCCGTGGCCCGGCCGAGTGGAATGTGAAATGGAGTGAAGGCCAAATTCCCTGTGGCCGGCTCCGCTTGGCCCCTCTGTGTATTTGAGGCTCGCGTCTCGACGGTGTCTTCCAGAGGCCCCCTTCCCCCTCCCTCCCTCCGTTCTCCCCCGGTGTCTTCCAGAGGCCCCGCCACCGCTTCCCTTCCTCTCGCCTGTCTCGATGACTCCAGCGATTTGGTCTGCAGCGATACTACACACTGTCCTGCGGCGTCCTGCGATTGGCCGACTGACTTACAAAGCCGACTCGAATCGACCAATTAGCGAAAGCTTGGCGCTTCCTGCTTGTGTGTGTGTGAGAGAGAGAAGTGGGAGGGGGCATCCGGTTGAATCGCTTTGCATTAATTTTTTCTTATGGTTTTATTATTGTATTACGTTTCTCCACCCTTGTGTGTGGTCGTCCTGGCTGCGGTAACCGGTGGTAACCCACTCGGTTCAGCTAGTTTTGGGGCTTGACATCGCTGCAGGAAAGTAAGAGTGTTTTCTGTTGCCTCTAGCCGCCCCTCCCCCCTCCTTTTCCTTTCGATGGCCACCCGTCCGGTTCGTGTGTCCTTCACGGGACGTCTGCACTCGTGTCACCGTACCGACTCTGCTGAGACGGGCGTGGCTAGACTTCATTAGAATTATCAGCTGCTTTTAATGTCGTAAAGTTACATGTATCAGCGTTCAAAGTCTAAATCGTTGGCGTTGACGTCGCGTGGTGCAGTTGAGCGGTCAGTTCAAAAATTGAAAAGACTTGGGCCTGGGGTGCTTTTTCCTGCATGGTTGGCGTTAGCTTTTTTTACCCCCCCCCCCCTCAAACATTTTTGATTTTATTTTCCAAATTTGATGCGTTGATCGTGGGGGGGCGGCCGATGCAGCCACTAATGGGCGGCCGCGTGTTCACTGCCGGAACAAATTGCGACAGGAGCGGGTACTACGTACGCCGCCGCAGCGCTGCCGTTTTTCGCTAGTTTGTGTTTGTTTTGTTCTTGTTGTTGTGGTGCTGGCCGGGCGCCAAAGGCGCGTACTATTTTTCGTTTCGCCGCGGCGGCTGGCTCGTTGTGTCAGCGGCGCGCCACGCCCCGGGCCAGGGCGGCCCGCGACCCCTGGGGGAGGACGCCGTCGACGCCCTCGCCGCCGGAGGAGGAGGATAACCCCCCGGGGCGGGGCGGTGTGTTACCGCATGTGAGGTAACCGTTTGGCGCGGGTACACCGAGTGGCGTGCGCCGCCGTCGCGCTGCTCCCGGATCTGTCTATAATGGCGTTGTCACTTCCCCTTGACAAGGCCCACATCCCCGCCCCCACCCTACCCTTCGGCTACTGTCAACACGCCGTCATTGATTTTTTAATGGTTTTAGCGATTAATTCCGACCACGTGACGCGCTGACGCGCTGGCGGGCAGGACCTTGGTCGGGGGGACCTGATTATGCACAAAGTGACACACACTGGCGACCCGCTGCTCGCCGCACCACCGCCGGCTCCCCCCGGCCCGGCCCGGCCTGGCCAGCGGGGCCGATCCCGTTCCGTCTTGGCAGCAGCACCATCACATTCACATTTACATTTCGCACGAGCAGGCGAAAAAAAAAATCAACCTAAAATGTGTTTGCTGTAATAAAAAAGTTGTTATCGGGATTTGTTTGCTGTGATGAGAAATGATAAAAAGATCACACCGGCGCTCCGCTGCCCAGGCCGCTGCTTCACCTGGCGGTAACGCGCGGCGTGTGGCTGGAGACGGGACCGTTATGCCCGCGACAAGGTCGTCTGACCCGGATCGGGGGAGGGGGGGGGGGGGGGGGGGTGTGGGCGGGGGGGGGGGGGGGGGGGGGGGGGGGAGGAATCTGTCGCAATGAGGGAGGAGGTGGAAATCACCGCTGCTGCTGAGGCTGTCGCGGCCTGTCGCTCGCTCTCTGACGTGCGCCCAGAAAAATGATATCTTGTTTCCAGTACTTTTGACCCAAGATTATTTGTTATTTTCTTGGATGCAAAGACGAGTTTTCCTTTGAAGTACAGAACATTTTCTTAGTCGAAAGCTAATACACCTGGCGTCAAGAGTAAAATTGGTCAACATAATTCAAAATGGAGACTTGAAATGAGAGAACATTTTTGTTGGTGTGCGGCCGGCTCGTCCGTTGGTGTCGCACGGCGGGTGTGAATCACACGACTGTCCTGTTTCACCTGCTGCATGTCTGCGCGCACGATGTTTCTTCTTCATGTCGTGGCTCCTCTCTCTCTCTCTCTCTCTCTCTCTCTCTCTCTCTCTCTCTCTCTCTCTCTCTCTGCCCCCCCCCCTGCCGCCTGGAACCCCTCCTCCTCCTCTACTACTACTACTACTACCACTACTTGTATGTGGTACCGTCGTTGGTCTGTCGTTTGGCTCCTCCAAATGTCAAGGACCCGGTCGCTAGCACAGCGGCCAGCCAGCCATCGGCGAGGTGGAGCGATCTTCACGACTTGCAGCCACATAGCTTTCTTTTCGACTGAAATGTCGTCGTCGCCCCGGAGACGTGTAGCGGATTTTTTCTATTTTTTGCGAAATCTTTGTGGGTTCTGGAGGATTTCCACGCGTCTGGTTTACCTTTCTGCCAGCCCCAGGCTGCTTGCCATGCTCACCCTCGGGAACTCCAAAAGATAATGAGCTTCCTGATTTAGAAGATCTCATTCCTCGAGCGGAAGCCGGGGGCTGGTCCCTCGGCCTGGTGACACTGTCAAGAAGTGAAAGGGAGATTTAAAAGGTATAGGGGGATTGCCGATTTTCGTCGAAGGTAGGAATAGATAAATGTCTCGTGGAGGGCGTGCGGTGCCGGGTGGGGCCCGGGAGGGAGGCGCGAGCGCGTGTGAGTCACTGTTACTTTCTTGCGTCCCGTGCTTCCTGTTGGCGCTCTGTCCAGAGAGAGAGAGAGAGAGATGCGGATTGTGTTGGCGGCGCCGCGCGCCGCGGCACTGTGACCAGCGCGGGTCGGTCGGCCACCCCCTCCTTCTAAAATTAAAGCCCCACTGCGGTATAGCAAACCGGCGCCGCTGTGCACGGGGACGCGACATGCCGCCCGCACACCTTCCTGTTCGGGACCCCTCCTCTGGTCGCTCTCACACATTCACACGCACATTTTGGAAGATAGAATACACTTGTATTCGTGTTTTGTTAGGTTTTGTGGTTGTTGGACGACGCCTGTACTGGGGGAGGAAATGGCCATCGGAATGATGAGCAGCACTTGAAACCTGATGTGCTTAATATGATTGCGAACTCTTTCTTTGCAATGTTGTGACGAATCTTCGATCGTCCTATTGCAAAGAATTGGTTCCGTGCGAATAAACTCTTTGCCAGAAGCTGTCAGTTGGTAGACAGTTTGTGCGTATTGCAAAGTAGTAGTTTAGCAGGCTGGCGTAAAACTAGTTTGTACTGCAATGCCTCAAAATTCTT